AGGAAGAATTGAACCTGAAGCTTCAGGGACTAAAGCCATGCGCTTCTAGCGCATCAATGAAAAGCCAGCTGGTCCTTAGCTGAGGATGTGGAGCAGACTTCCCATTCCCTCTCAATGGTCTGAGTGCCTCTGGGTTACACCTACAATGCTCAAAAGTCACAAGCTGGCCGCTGGACTGCTGATAAGTTACTAGGCCAGGCATGTCTTGTAGATTTGGTTACAGTTTGCAGCTGTTTACCACTATAGTGGTGGTGGAATCGGTTCTAATTTCTGTCACAAGGAAGGCAAATGACTTGAAAAGGTCCCCTCGTGACTGTGGCTAAGCAGCTGGCATGCTGCAATTACTGCTTCTTCAGCTAATTGTGATTATTATCTTGTCTGTCCCCTGTATACTTACGGCATTGCATCTACCCATTGCCTCTGAGACAGTCAGAATTCCGGGTCAGGAACTGGTTTTTATTATGTGTGCGCCTTCAACTACTACAATGGGGACCAGACCCCTGACTGAGGCCTCAAGGCAGTCCTGCACTACCAACAATAAACAATAACCACATGGTTCAATATCGGGCCACACCTCTAGGGAATTTGAGTGATCAAGAGGGCTCCTTAGTAATGTATTTCATCCAAGGGAGCTGACAGGATTGCTGAGTCCTTGGATAATTTGGGAAGAGGGCGGCTCCAAACTCCTAGAAGGGGTGGGGCCTCATCTGGAAAGGGCAGAGCTGGGCAGCCAGTCCCCAGCACTGCCCAGATGACACACCACCTCTTGCCCCTGCTGGCCTTCAGAACCAGTTGGAGCACTCTCCAGCATCAGTTCTAATGGGCCTGGGTTCCAGTCTGAGTCTGCATTGCTATTTTGAGCCCTTCAAGACCAAGTCACAACTGGCTGGGACTCTTCTCCTCAATACTCTGGGTCTTCTTTTTTTCTTTTCTGCATAGACACAACCTTAGTGTTTGTTGCAGGACTGGGTCCCTAGATGGTAACCAGATCGTTAATAATGTAGATTACTGCCTATTGCTCTACATTTACAGGTACATTTTGAGAGCTACTAGTTAGCCAGTTTTTAATCCATTTAATGTATGCCATGTTCATTTTATAGCATTCTAGTTTTTTAATCAGAATGTTCCATGGTACCAAGTCAAAAGCCTTACATTAACACGATTACCTTTATCGGCCAAATCTGTAATTTCTTCAGAAAGAGATCCAGTTAGTTTTATAGGATCTATTTTCCATAAGCCCTTAGTGATGTGCATTAATTACCTTACCCTCTTTTTAATTCTGCATTAGTCAAGTCCCAGATGCTCCAATATCTTGCTCATGATCAATGTCAAGCTGATAGACCTATAATTACTCATACCATCCCATTTTCTCTTTTTAAAAATTGGCACAGCATAAGCTTATTGAAAAATCAAGGTTCAGAGTTCATCAAGTGCCTTAGCCAGCTCTTTTAAAACTCTTGGATGCAAGTTATGTGGACCTTCTAATTTAAAAATGTCTAAATTTAGTAGATTCTGTTTAACAACTTCCAGGGACACTATAGAATGGAATAGAAAGATTAGCATCACCATATGATGAAGCCAGGTCATCTGTTTTTTCCTAAACATAGTACATTAATATGAATTGAACATTCTGCCTTTTCTCAGAATTATTCACTGGAGTTAATATAGGGAGCTTATTTATTTTTACTTGAGAATTCACGGGATATATTGGGCTCATTTTGAGGCCCCTCATATGGTTAACATGGACTAGGCCCAGGTCCTCAGAGGTTGATTTCAATAGAAGTTAGGAGTCTAAAAATCTTTGAGGGACAGACCCTACAACTCAGGATTAAAAGTGGAGTTTAGATCTCAAGGGGAAATCCATCCCTCCCATGGGGAAGAGATAAGAGAGAGAATGAACTAATCATGGCACTTACTGCCCTACATCTCAAAAACTACAGAAATAAGGAGTATTAGATCCAGCATAAAGTAGAACAGCATATGCAAGCTCAGGAATACTTGAATCACTTTCTTTCTGCTACTAAGATGTGTCCAAAAATAGCATAGTTTCTTACCGGAAGGTGGTCAGTCATTTTCACAGAGCATCTTTACTGGGAGACTGAGAAACCATAAGAATAAGTCCAATATGAAGAAATGGTCATCATGCCTTTTTTGGATAGGTGTGTTAGGTGCAGAGAGACCAGATAGAATTCATTCTTGTCATCCCTAATTTTATAAGGGTTCCATTAGTGATGCCAACAAACCACAGGATACCACTATTACTAGGCATTCACCCCACCTACTTTCTGTCTGTCCTTACCTAGATCTATTTCCCAACTATCATCTCCCGATCCCTTACTGTAACTAACCTTCATTATTTGCCTATTACTTCCCACTCGTAATAACTAACCCATCACACAGTCACTGAATGGCTTAATGGAGTCTAGCAAAGACTGTGATTAATATACAAATGAGGCAGTGTTGTCTAGTAGGCTGAGCAAGAGTCAAAGGCCAGGAACTCCTGAATTCTAACCCTAACACCAACTCACTGTGTGATTACATTTTCAATATAGTTTTTAATAACTCTTGTCATTGTTTTGGTATCTCCATAACAATGAGTGAATCTGTCATCTTCATCAACAAAAGGCTGCTAACATCTTACTGATACTGAGAAGGTAGGTCAAAGGTTACTCACAAAGGATTAAAAAATGATAAAATCAGGCCTCAGACTTGTGTAGAAGCGGATTGGTTGAATTGGCGGTGTGGTTTGTTATGCTGCCTTTCTGATAAATTAAAAGGGCCTGAAAAGGTTTTTATCTTTGTACAGCGCTTGAATACCTTGGAAGACTTTATGGACAATTAGAGAAGTTGGAGGATACTGACATACCAAGAAGTACAAGTTGTTTCATTGAAGGGAGAAGCGAATTTTAGGGGGCAAATTTAGGAATTTACAAAAAACAACAATACCCTTGAAAGAAAAAATTATCTTTGTAAATTATTCAACAACACTTTCTATTAATCAACTCAAAGCTAGAAAAACTCTAAATACACACTTCTGAGTCCTCCAACACTAAATAAATAAGGGAAGAGATGATTTGACATTTCTGATACTTCTAAAAGAAAAAAACACATTTTCAGACCTTTATATATATCTATATATTTGGAAGAAAAGCGGTTTCAGCCCCTTTAAATTATTTTCTTTTGCAAGTCTTCTCTAAAAAGAGACAGACAGAGAGGAAATACAGTTTTATTTCAGTACATTACCATGGCAAGAGATTTCAGACTTGGCAAAAACAATTTCTAATCCAGATTTTAAATCTGGTTAATTCAACATTTAAATGCTGGTAATTTGAAAAGTTTCCTCGGGTGTGTTTGAGTCAAATACTGAGTTTCATTTTGTATATTGCAACCTATAATTTGCTGTCAAGAGAGCAATTTTCTTTTATACTTTTCTATATTGCAAAATATAATTTGCTGGCAAGAGAGCAATTTTCTTTTATACTTTTTATTTAAACACTTCACTTATTTTTGCAGATTAAAGCCTCACCCAACTTTACTTCAAAATGTAGATTATAAAGCAGTTTTCCTTTAGTCAGAAAAATTAAGATCCTCCAAGTTGCAGTTTTAGTTGTTGTTAGAACATAGATACCATAAAGATCTCTTCCTAAAATCAAACTGATAAGCAACAGGACATAGATACAATAAAGATCTCTTCCTAAAATCAAACTGATAAGCAACCCTTAATAGGAAAAAAGCATCTTGAAAACCTGGGTAAGTAAAATCTACAGGTCCCGGATTCTACAAAGACACATGCTTGACATTAAGCATAAGTGTGCCCTTTAAAGTCAAAAGGCCCCAATCCTGAAAGCGTGCACATAAGGAATTCCATTTACTGCTTTCAGGCATAAATGTGTTGGGGCTTACATTTAAAAATAAGACCCGCTCAAGCCCACCTGTAACAAACTGTGTAATATTTATTTGTCATTTGATTGCATAGCAGTCTGTTTAATTCCATTGTTGGCTAAAATAATGCACCTGAGACCTAGGCTCACAGTGCTACATAACAATAGTCCATACCAGAAAGGTCTCACTACATCAAAATTTTTCCTGAATAAAGACTAGGGACTTGAATCAGAATATCTAGGTCATGAAGATATAAAAAAGGAAGTGCTAACCTCTAATAGAGGCCCACATATGCTAACACTCTGCATTTGCTTATCTTTACTACTGTAAGTAGTTCCCTTGATTTCAAAAGGACAACTCAACAGTAGTAGATAAATAGCATAAGTGTTTGCAGGATCAAGGCCAAAGAAATCTCTGCTGATTTTGGTTACTGGGCCTATTTCAATACGAATGGTGGCTGATATCAAGATTTGTATAAATTCAAAATATATAGCTTTCCATTAGAAACTATTACTGCCTTCTTAATATTTTTAAATTTTCTATCGTATTTGTTTTAAGAAAAAGGTAGCATGCTTGTGCCAGTGTAAAAAGTCTTAGTGCAACCTTAAAATTGTGTGGGTTTTTTTTTAAACTTTTTAAACTTTCAGCCTTTTAGTAATCCACACAAACAGAATAATAATCTATCTCTCGTCCAAGTGGTGTCAAGGGACAAAAGTTTGGTACTGGGGAGTTATTTAGGAGGCAGTGTATCTTTAACCGTCTCCACCTTGGAATCCGCCCACTTTCTTTCTAGCGGCAGTAATCTTGTTGACTCAGGTGCCGTGTTCATACAGTAACCAGCGTGAGCTGCACACTTCATAGTTTTTTAAAAGCAGGCCTGTTAACATGTACCTGCCATTCTACCTCACTCGGGCTCACACAGTATAAAGGTAACAGTTTGGTTTTTGATCTTGCACAAAGATAGTCCCTCCTTTCCTGGAAAAGCCAGACAGACCAGTTGGATACCTTTCAAGCCTCAACTCAGAACTTTATCATCTCATCCCTCTGCCTTTTAAAAGTAGAAACACCTGAGACATTTTTAAGACCTGAGAATCCTTAATCATTTAAACAAATGGCTAACCCCAATGCAGTCGGCAATGGACATCTCCATTCTCACCAGAAACGGAATAAACTCTTAATAAGTGGAATCTATAAGAAAAACGGGATTGCTAAAGAAGTCAAGGTAAGATTTAACTAACCTCTTCCTTCATTGCCTGAGCTCTGAAATCATTGAGACGAGCAGTTACAAATGTATGTAATAAGCTAGCTTTATAAAAATCTGTCTTCGTTTTTCATCAAATGGGTGGCATAAATTTGATTGGTTTTTCTGTTAAGTTTTACCCACGTAGGATCTAATCCTGTATTCTCTGCATCGTTGGCTGAAGTGTTATGGGTGCAGAAGCACTATCAAGGAAAGCCTTGTATGTAACCTGACGTTGGTATTTCATGTTAGAAATAGAGAAATCCCACACACACCTTCCAGCTGAGGTTCCCTAAAGCTTTCCTGATCATTTTGCTGGTATTGGTTTGACAACTTGGCTTAGCCTCTTAGAAAGTTTGTGTAGAGTGTTTTTATGATGATTTGACACTGCACACATGTGACTTAGAAATAAGGAAGGAAAAATGAGGAAGGAGAGAGGTGGCTTTTGTAGTTGTCTGTAGCTTGATTTTCCTGGGGATTATACTGGTGTATGCCTAGCATTCTGTGTATCTTACCAAGGTATGCTTAGCTGGCTTAACAATTGATCTTTTTTTATTTACACTGATTTTACAGTGCTAGTAGTTCTTAAAAATCAAATTAGTCCACAGACCATTCTTTCAACATGTTGGTGTGTGACTTGCCTCTTTGAAACCACAGCCTTTCATTTGCATGAGTGCCTCCTGGCACCTAATGAGAGGTGCATGGTTTCCCCCAGATGGTACGTCAAAATCACAGGTGTTCTCTTGTTAAACAGGTTGCATGAACTAAGCTTTAAAAGATGTCTGTGGGTGGAGCCTATCGTTATCCTACATGTACTGGGTCTTCAAACCAACACTGTGCTGGGTTTGAGACTCTATTGATGGCTATATCATATTTGAGCTCCAGTTTCAGTTGGGAATAGAAAAAAGTTTAAGAGCTAAATGTTGTGCTTTGGGAAGTGGAGCAGTAAGCAACACAATCTTGTGTCTGATTGCGTATCTGGTGTATTTTTTTTCCTAATTTGGCCTGTGCCTAATGCTTTAGGCAATGACAGTACCCAAATTGCCAGTCTCAGATGCATGAAAATCAAGAAACTTAAGACAGAAGTCTTTTCACAATGAGACGCTCATGCATATATCATCCTCATTAAGTCACACACCCAATGTAAAAGTGAGTGGGTGCTGGCCCCAGTATGAGTGGCTCTTGGTTGCTGGCCCAACCCAAGTGTGACAGAGGAAAAAAAAACCTTGTGCAATGACAGAGAAAGCCATTTCTTGGAATTTGCTCCTGTGAATCAAAGAGGAAAAAAAACTTGTGCAATGACAGGGAAAGCCATTTCTTGGAATTTGCTCCTGTGAATCAAATGTGAATTTCAATTATATTGTTTTAAAAACTAATCCTGTTTCAATTTCTAATGTAATGTGTTATTTGCATTGAGAGCAAATTCTGAGCGGTGCGACTCACTCCCCAGAAGTAGTTAAGTGGCTGGACAAAGAATGAGAAAATGTGACAGAAGCAAATTCAGAGGCGTAAAAAGAGTTGACACCTATTAATACAGGTTTACCTCCCTTAACCGGGACTCTCTCGTCTGGCAACAGCCATGGTCCTACTGGACCACAAATGTTCCTGGACCACAGAGCCCAGGTATAGGGAGGTCAACTGGCAACAGCCATGGTCCTGCTGGACCACAAATGTTCCTGCACCACAGAGCCCAGGTATAGGGAGGTCAGGCTGTGGGGCAGGAGCAGCGGGGGGAGGGCCCAAACACTTAGCCAGGAGCTATGGGGCAGGGTGAGGAAGGGCAGGTGGCACAGTGGGGAGCTCTATCCCCTGCTGCCTGGTGCACTGGGGGCTGGGCAGAGGCAGCCACGGAACTCTGGCCCTGGTTGTGGAGCTCAGGGACAGCAGCGGCAGCCACAGAGCTCCGACCATGCCAGAGCTCTGGCCCCAGCTCCGGAGCTCTATGAGCAGTGCGGCTAGGCTGGAGCCCTAGCCAGGGGCAGCAGGACAGCCCAGGCCATGTTGGGAGGATCCTCCCTGGCCCGTCAAATCCCCTCATTCAGGACCGGTTAGGACCCGAAGGTGCTGGACAAGGGAGGTCCAACCTGTAATAGGAATATAGCCAGAAAACTGGAAAAGCACGTCCTTGGGGTGACAGTAACAAAACAATCACTGGGCCATGGCGGTCTGGTTATCTGATGTATCTGTAAAAGTTGGGGATTATTACCCTTAAATACCAAATGGCGAGGTTAGTCAGTCATTTTGCTGTTGAGGAGGCTTGAGAGTGCGGGGTGTTTTTTGTTGGGGGGGGATTGAGTTGACAGAGGGCTGCCACTGGTTCTGCCTCTTGGTTTCCTGGGCCTCCTGTTTCTTGTTCTGTTGGACCTCACAGTTGCTGTAGTTCTCGGACCATGTCCTGGGACACCACAGCCACCCAGCACTGGAATGCTTCCTCTGCTGATGATAAATTTGACTCTTCCTTGACGGATGCTCCACTCCAGCAAGAAACCACCAGTGAGGTAGATCCCTGTTGCACTTGTAGCCAACCAACCTGGAGTCAGGTCCTAGCTGGATTTTCCGTTGCTCCACCACCAACTGGTGAATGTTTCTGAGGGCTGCAGCCATTCAAAGTGCCCATCTCAGCACCACTGGGGCTGCCACTGCTGCTGTGAAGAGACGGCGTTCTAATACTATCAGTTTTAAATGGGTCATGGGTGGGACGGAATCATTATCCCCAATCTAAAGCTGGAGAGATGGATGCACAGAGAGATGAAGTGGGTCAGCCAAGGTCACCGTGAGTCAGCGCAGATCTGGTATGCAAATCCAAGGCAATGTGCAAGTAGCTGCTCTACATCATGACGTTCCCCCTCCCGCCAAAAGGATGCCACCGGCATGAACAAAAAGGTTCCTAGTTTGCATTATTGCAAATCCTCCTGGGAAAGCTTTAAATGAATACCAACCAAGAACACAAACCAGGAACCTTTTAGTTCAGGTCTGCAGCATCCACATGAGGGAGGAGGGTTTACAGCACTGCACTCCGGCGCACACTGCGATTTATGCTCCCATAGCCAAAACAGCAGAGCAATGTAGACAAACCATAGGTCTCCTAAATGCCAGTCCTATGCCCTATCATCATCTCTTTGCCCTATTCAGAAAACCCTGATGCCTCCCTCCCTGGACTACATTGCCTGCTACAAGCACAGATGACGAGAGGAGGGGACAAGAACAGACTGGACAGTTGTTGTATATAACAGGGATCTTGCGCCTGATAGGAATCTACCTTTTCCTGTCTGATCTGTCTCTTTCCTCCCTCCCTGTACCCCAGATAAACCTGCCCCATTCTATCCTGTTTTCCAGTTCTTTGCCATCCAGGCATGTCATGGATGCTACTGCTGCTCTGTCTCTGGTACAGGTCTGTCCCGCCATCACAGTCCTTCGTGTATCTATCTCGCAGCTCTCTTGTGAGGTAGGGAGACTCCATTAGCCCCATGTTACAGATGGGGAAACTAAGGAAAACTAAGTGGCCCACCCAGAAGCCTGTGACAGAGCAGAATCTAAACCCAGGTCAGCCAACATTTCAGGCTGGAGTCCTAATCACTGACCCTCCCCACTCCCCAGCCAGTCATCCTTTCTCCTCACCCCCACCCCACTTTTCTGCCCCTCTGTGACACGCCATCAA